CGACGACCGCGTGTCGTCCGACGTCAAGGGCCTGTTGGGCTCCGCGGAGCCGCGGGGCTGGAGCGAGCACACGCTCGACATGGCGTCGCCGCGCAAGTCCATGACGGCCGCGGCGGAGGCGCTCGCGAAGACGCCGCTCGCGGACAAGCGGGGCATCCACCAGGGCAGGACAAGAGAGCGAAATTCCCAACTTCAAAGGCTCATATCTCGGCCGTTTTCCACTCATTTCTGCTGATTTTTGGACGAGCGATCATCTCTCGGAACGATCTCGAAGCGTGGATGCTTTTTTCGGAACGCGCGCGCGCGGAACACTCATGTTGAAGCGACGTTGAATCTCCCTTGTCCTGCCCAGGCATCCACCGCGCGTGGACGCTCCGCAACGCGACGTGGAACGAGGTCGCGCACCGCGTCCGGTCCGCAAAGCAGCTCGTCGTGCGCGCGACGACGGCGACGCTCGCGGCCGCGGGCTCGGAGACGCACGTGGAGAAGCGCTCGAACCGGCGGAGCCGCCTCGCGGAGGTGCGGACGATCGCGCCGATCATCTGCGAGGCCGTGCTGCTGCGGCGCGAGGAGCTCGCGCACCGCATCCGGTGCCTCCAGGGGCGGAGCGACCGGGAGTCGCGCCGCGCCGTGCGGCTCCTCGAGCTCCTCGAGGTCGATTTGTTGCGGCGCTGGCAGTGGACGCCGAACCCGGACGTCTTCCTGAGGAACGTCGAGGAGATCACGCGGAAGCAGATCAAGGTCGCGGAGCTCTGGCACGACGAGATCAGCGAGATCACGGGCCCGACGAAGCGCGTCGTCCTCGAGCGGCGCGTCGCGCGCCTCGCGGAGTTCGAGCGCGCGTCGCACCACGGGCCCGTCGCGTCCTACATCTACGACACGTCCGTCGAGCGCCACTGCGTCGCGAACGAGGACGGCAGCGACGACGAGGCGCCGGGCTGGAAGCCCTACCTCGGGGCCATCCTCGGGCTCTTGGTGCTGTGCGGCATCCAGGTCTTCTACCTGCTGCAGCAGGCGACGATCATGGGCAACGGCAAGACGAAGATCTGGATCAAGCAGGTCGCCATCGGGGCGGTGCTGTTCTACGGCATCATCCTGCCCCTGGAGATTGTGTTCTTCTTTATATTCATCCCGTCGCTCCTCGCGGAGCACGTCAAGCGCTTCGGCGACATCTCCAAGGTCAAGGGCTACCCGTACCGCACGCGGCTCCCGGCGTCGCCCGTCTTCTACCTCTGCCAGCGCCACCCGGAGCTCCAGAGCTCGCGCATCGCCCAGCACGCGCTGGGCTCGCTCGCCGCCGACGCGAGCGACGAGGACATCGTCAAGGAGCTCGGCGACATCTACCACGACACGGTCTGGGCGCCGTCGCCGCGCACGCGGCTCCTGCTCTTCGGCTTCGGCATATTCATGCTGGTGCCCGACATCTTCCAGGAGCTCATCTTCGAGGAGATCTTCACGCTGTGCCCGCTCGCGACGGGCGTCATGTTCAACTACGATTTCATACCGGGCGGTCTCGACCAGCGTCGAGTGGCGCGAGTGTATTTTCGCGCGTTTCGCGCCTCGAAACTCGAAGAGCGTTTCGCGCCTCGAAACTCGAAGAAATTCGACCCCGTCGTTCTTCGTAGGCCTCAACTCCGAGAACCGCCGCGGCGGCTCTCTGGACGAAGTGTTTCTCATGATTACCATCGTCATCTTTTTGCTCGTCTGCTTCTACATCGGCAAAGCGTTCTTCTTCGGCCTCGACTCGGCCTACGCGATCGCCAAACTCGAGATCAAGCGCCTCCGGCACACGCTCTTCACGCTGTAGGCGACCTTTGCGTTCTAAGCGATCTCTACGTAGGGCTACGCTCGCGAGAGGGGGTCTTTACGTTGGACTAAGCGACCTTCACGTAGAGCTACGCTCACATAAAGCTTCTCTTGACTTCAACGTTGAAGTCGAAGTCAATGTTGACGTTCAGCGGCCGGCTATGCGAGTGGTGGGCGTGAGGTGAGAACGCAGCACGGACCAAAACAGTGTAGCCCAGAGGCCTGCTGTCGTGTGCGCAGGTGTTCCGAGCACAAGATGAAAAGCCTGCTTATCGTCGCAGCGATCACTGCTTCGGCGCTCATGCCCGCACCTGGCTCACGGCGCCGCTCTCGCTCGGCACCCAGCTGGCGCAGGCGGCCTGGCTCACCACGGTCGACGTCCAACCGATGCGCGGCGCTCGCGAGCACGCCGGACGACGACGACGATGACGGGTACGCCGCGTCGCAAAGACAGCTGGACGCGGTCGCCGTGAAGAACTACCAGTTCGAGTGGGTCCTGAGCAAGGAGGAGGCGGGCGAGCTAGAGCTGCGGCCCTTCTACCAGCGTGGCTTCAAGTGGACGCAGAAGCAGTCGTCCCTGTGGATCGAGAGCATCCTGCGGGGCTACCCCTGCCTCCCGGAGATCGTGCTGCTCGACACGGAAGACGGCTACGCGGTCTTCGACGGCCAGCAGCGGCTCTCGAGCGCCAAGCTCTTCATCAAGGGCGAGCGGGCGCCGGAATGGAAGAAGACGGTCGCACAGAGGAAGGCCGGCACGCACGAGACGTTCGCGCTCGAGAACCTGCCCATCCTCAAGGACCTCGAGGGCAAGACGTTCAAGGACCTCGACAGGAAGCAGCAGAAGCAGATCAAGGAGCGCTACGACCTCCGCTGCGCCGTCATCCCGGAGTCGTGGTCCATGCACGATTACCTGGACTTCTTCAAGCGCATCCAGGGCGGCGGCACGCCGATGACGGACCAGGAGCTGCGGCGAGCCATCTCGCGCGGCCCCTTCACCACGCTGCTCGACGGCCTTGCCGACGGCGGGGGCGAGACCAGCCGGCGCCTTGCGCTGGCGCTCGGCGAGGCCGCGCTCCAGAGGGACGAGAAGCAGGAGCTCCTGCTCCGCTACTTTGCGCTCCAGTGCAACGGGCCGAAGAACTTTGGCAAACCCAGCATGAAGCAGCACGCGCTCGAACTCATGAAGCGCCTCAACAAAGGCGAGGACGACGAGCGCCTCGGCGATTGGAAGCGAGGCCTCGACGCCGCGCTCGAGGTGTCCCTTCTCGTCTTCCCCGACCCCAAGGAGCGCTTCCGGCGCGCGGCCTTTGGCGGCGGCGCGGACTCGCGCTTCGGCGCGAGCGTCCACAAGGCGATCTGGGACGCCGCCCTCTACTGCCTGAGCAAACCGGAGCACAAGGCGGCGCTGGTCGAGAGGGCCTCGGAGGTCCGAGCGGCCTTCGTCGACCTGATGCAGGGGCACCCGGCTTTCGAGAAGGTGCAGATCAGGGGCACCGAGGCGCGCGTCGCTGCCTTCGAGGACGCCATCCAGAAGCTCCTCGCGGGCCACCGCGGAGGGCCCGTTCCGCGGGACATGCGCTCGAGGATGATTGCCGCGGCGCGCCGAGAGAAGGCCGCGTGCGCGCTCTGCGGGGAGGCCCTCGGCCCGTCGGACGACCTCCTGCATATCGACCACATCGTGCCTCTCGCCCGCGGTGGCCGCACGGAGCCGTCGAACCTGCAGGTCGTCCACAGGGTGTGCAACCAGAAGAAGGGCGCGGGATAAGGACAACAAAAGGGCGACCTTGCATTCATCGTCGGCCGGAGTTAAGGATACATCCGCCTTAGCGCCGCGCTTTGCGAGAGCATGCCGACGACCGTCGGCTTCGGGGCCCACGGGAGCTATGCGGGCTTGCAGAAGATCGCCGTCTGGACGGACGAGGGCCCCGAGCGCGCGAAGCGCGAGAAGGCCCTGGGCTGGTTCAATCGGACGCTGGAGACGTCCAAGGCCGAGAAGGCGCGGTTCGCCAAGATGGTGGACCGGCTCATGCACCGGTCGCGCACGGCGAACACGGCGGCGGAGGCGCAGCGGTGCCTCGACGAGCTCGAGGTCGCGCTCTACTCGCTGCCCGACGGGAGCCGCGACGCCGACGGCGAGCTCTACCACGCGACGCAGGTCGCGTACTCGGCCGAGGAGGCGCGCGAGGAGCGGCGGCGCCTGCGCCTCGAGATCGACCACCTGCGCGAGTTCCTCACGCCGGGCTTCGAGGTGAAGTTCAAGACCGCGTCCTGCTACGAGGCGCCGCAGCGCGTCCTCTACTCGCGCGACGTCGCCGCGCGGCAGCGGCGCGAGGACCGCGCGTCGCGCGAGGAGACGCTGCGCTGGAAGAAGGAGGAGGAGCGCACGGCGGACCGCATGGACGACGCCCTGCAGCGCGACGCCGTCGGCGCCGTGGGCGAGCACCGCTCCGTCGTCGCCGACGGCCGGCGGGCGCGGTCGGCGTTCGTCGCGGCGGCGAACCTCGCGGCGCGGCGCGTCGACGCCGTCGCCGCGCGCGGCGAGGACTGGGTCTACGACACCTGCGCGCCCGTGCGCGCCCACTCCTGCAAGGCCAACGTCGAGTCCTTCGATTGGATCAAGGACCGGCGGCCGGACGACGCGGGCTACGCGCTCCAGGCGCGGGGCCACCGGTCGAACGCGCCCCAGCTGCGGCGCCTGGGGCCCCGGCGGCGCGGGCCCGTGCCGCCGCGCCGCGAGGCGCCGACGCACCTCGGCCTCGGCGACGCGCTCCGCGACGACGACCGCTTCGCGGCGCCCGCGCCCAAGCCCGCGGCCCAGGACTGCACGGTGGTGACGCGCTTCCGCCGCAAGCCCGCGACCTGGTTCTACGACTAAACGGAGAATTTTAAAAGAGCGAGTCCGCTCTCAGGCCTTCTCCTCGGCCACGCCGACGTCCGCGGGCTCCAGGAGCCCCGTCGCCTCGGGCGCCTCGGCGTCCGGCGCGGGCGCGGCCGCGGGCTTCGCCGCGTAGCCGCGCTGGAAGCTCGCGGCCTTGTCGTCGCCGGGGCTCGGCGCGGCGCCGCCGTAGTCTTTCTTGTGCGGGCTCGGCGTCTCCTTCCGGAACGCGACATTGACCGCCGGCCGAGGAGTTTTTTTGGTTGACCGAAAGCACGACCGCAGGAAGACGCCGACGAAGATGATGAACAGCACGACGGAGATCATCGTGATCGAGATGTAGGCGAAGGCGATGCGCAGCGACGCCATGGCGCCTCGAGGCCGCGGCGGGCGCGCCGCGCGGCTCCGGGCGCGGGCGCGGGCGCGGGTCCGGGCGCGACCGCGGCCGCGGGTCCGCGGGGAGCGAGGACGCGACCGCGGCGGAGCCCAAGCGGACGGGTGCTCCCCGAGCGAGCGGCGGCGCGCGGTACGGCGGCCGCGGCGGGGCGGGGCGCGATGCTGCTGGCACCACCTTGCGTGCGCCTCCAATCTCAAGGCGAGATTTGTCTGCACCGTCCCTGCTCGCGACCTTTCGTTGCCCCCCTCTCACTTGGCGGGCTGCTTGGCTCTGCGAGCTGGAACAGGGCTGCGGCGAGGTCACCGCCGCCGGCCGACCGCCCGGCACCCGCGCGCCCGCGCCCGCCGCCGCCAGTGGTCCGGCGGCGGCGGTGTCGCGCGCGGGGCGCCGGCCATGTTCCGCAGTTTCCGGAACCGCTTCCGCGCCAACTCGTCGACGAGCGAGGAGGAGGCGCAGCCCGTCCACGAGGACGCCGTCGTCGAGGTCGAGGAGGACGAGCGCGGGTCCGACGCAGCGTCGAGCGCCGGGCGCTTTTTTTTCGCGTGGATGCCCGAACACGCATCCGACTAGGTCCGACGAGATCGACGACGACGACTCGTCCGAGGGGTCGCAGGACGGCGACAACCGCGTCCACGTGGAGTACTACACGCACGAGGACCGCGTCTGGCGGCCCGCGGTGCTGGTCATCCACGCGGGCGCGCACGGCGTCCGCGTGTACCTGCGCACGGAGGGCGGCGAGGTCCGCATCGCGCTCGGCGACGACTGGTCGCGAGAGGTCGTCGACGCGCGCGCGGGCGACGGCGCGCGCGCGGCCTTCGTCGTGCGGGCCGGCGACGAGACGACGGTCGTGCGCGCGCGCGACGGCAACGCGACGCTCCGCGTCTTCGCGCGGCTCAACGCCGTGCGCATCGACGCGATCCGCGCGAAGCACGCCGTCGCGCTCGAGGGCAGGAAAAGGGTGATTCAAGTTCGCTTCAACATGAGTGTTCCGCGCGCGCGCGTTCCGGAAAAAGCATCCACGCGTCGAGAGCGCTCCGAGGGATGATCGCTCGTCCCAAAATCAGCCGAAACGAGTGGAAAATGACCGAGATAGGAGCCTCCAAAGTTGGGAATTTCGCACCCTTTTCCTGCCCAGGTCGCGCTCGAGGACGTCGAGCGGTCCGTCGAGGAGGCCCAGGACTACTCGCTCCAGGCGGCGGCGCGCACGGGCGACAGGGCGCGCGTCGCGTGGATGCGCCACGTCTTCGTCTCCGGCGCGTCGCGCTACAACCGCGACTGCTACGGCCGCGCGCTGCTCCGCTGGGCGCTCGCCGCGGGCGTGACCGTGACGTCGACGAACACGAACCTGCCCGAGCTCAACCCGGCGTCGCACCGGGAGAAGCGGCGCGCGGCGGCCGTGAAGCGCTTCGCGAGCGTCGTCGACGGCTGGACCCTCAAGATCATCCAGCGCCTCTTCGGCCGCTGGCGCACGCGCGCGGAGGTGTCGACGTCCGCCGCGCGGCGCGACGCGGACCACGTCCAGTCGCTCCGCGAGGCCGTCGACTACACGCACCGGGTCATGGCCAAGCAGGCGTCCGCGGCCATCGTCCGCCGCGCGCTGCAGCGCTACGGCGGCAAGGCGAAGATGGCCCGCGCGTGGACGCGGTGGAACCGGCGCCTCGGCGAGAAGTCGCTCGACGAGGGCGCCGCGGCCCACGCGCGGCGCCTCGCGGAGCTGGAGGCCGAGCTCAAGGCGTCGCACGCCGAGGAGCTCGCCGCGCGCGACGCGGCCCACGACCGGGACTTGCAGGACACGCTCCGCGGCTTCGAGGACACGCGGCGACCGGGGCAGGACAAGAGTGCGACATTCCCAACGTCAAAAGCTCCGAGCTCGGCCGTACTCCACTCGTTTCGGCTGATTTTTTGACGAGCGATCATCTGTCGGAACGGTCTCGAAGCGTGGATGCGTGTTTTGAAAGCGCACGCGCGGAACGCTCACGTTGAAGCGACGTCAAATCACCCTTTGACTACCCAGGCGGCTGCGGCTCGCGGAGCAGCACGCGTCCGAGCTCGACGAGTGGCGCGCGGCCGCGCGGCGCGCGACGGCGCACGAGGGCGAGCTCGAGGACGAGCTCGCGCGGCGCCAGGCGGACGCGGACGCGCGCGTCGCGGATTTGGAGCGGCGCCTCGCGGCGGACCGCGACCGGGACGTCGCGCGCGCCGAGGCCGAGGCCGAGGCGCGCCGCGAGGCCGCGCTCGCCGCCGCGGCGCGGGACCACGCGGCCGAGCTGGCCGCCGCGCGCGACCGCGACGGCGAGCGCCACCGCGAGGCTTTGGACGCCGCCGTCGAGGACGCCGCGAGGCGCTCCGCGGCGGACATGGAGGCCGCCGTGCGGTCGCGCGACGCGGCGCTCCGCGAGGAGACGGGCGCGGTCGTCGCGCGCGTCGAGGCGGCGCACGCGGCGGCGCTCGAGGCGCGGGACGCGTCGCACGGCGACGCGAAGCGCGCGCTCGCCGACGGCCACGCGGCGGCCGTCGCGGCCATGGCCGCGGGCCACGACGGCG